AGGGCTAGCAGCTAGACGGCGCACATTCGATGATCAAATCGGGATGCTCCAATTGTTATATCACATGTTCCCCGTAATCTGTCGAAAGCGGAAGTGGCTAATACTTTGCCAACGATGTAGGAGTTTTGGAGCGTAGACATTGCAGAAGATGCCATGCAAATTTCAGCTTGGGTTTCTAGGAAGACAAATTGCTCACGTCCCGACAAAAGCAAAGCTCACCCAATGGCGATTCTGCGAGGTCGTCATCCTCAACATTTGTAGCACGAATGAAATTGTTCAACCTGGTGATAATTCAGTCGAAAGTTTGCATCTTAATTTCTTGCTCTTGGTGCTTTACAGTGTTAATATGGTGTTAATTAAACGCATGGGCAGAGGACAATTTACTGTCTTCGATTGGCTATTGAGTTCAGCAGATGGAAGATCACTAATTTTTACAGTAAGTAAGTCACAGAGGCAGAGCGCTCACTGCACGACTACGCGCTTACATGCGTCGTTAAACAGCTACACGCTGTTCTTTCTAAAACGAATCATCCATTAGACGAGAATAGTTTGCTGGAGAGGCGCGCACAAACAGCGGAGGAGCACCGGCATAAATAAATTAGACCACCTTGGCAGCACTAGACTTACAGCGCTGTGTACAGCGCTCCGCTCCTCGTCGTATGTTAGCTCTAAGTAATGGTATAGAGAAGGATTTCATTTCAGGCTCAGAGCGATGGCTGAGCCGTATACTACCAAAACAAAATTTATGAATCAGTAATTGCGTTTATGCTCGAATCAAGACATAAACGCAAAACAATTGTAAGCATAGGTAAGCTTCCTTCTTGATCACAGCTCGGGAGGGGGGGGGGACTCAGTAAAGGTATTCGCCATTCGGGCGTATTTAGTAGAGGTGAGTTGTTATCGTCACCTCTGGGGCCGGTGACTGAGGACATATCGCCCTCCCCCCCCCCCAGGGCGCGCTTCATTCATCACCGCGGCCCCCGGCAGCAGCTGCACGTGATGGCCCACCAAAAGATGCACCGGTCGTTCGGAGAAAATGTGCGCCGGCAGTCAGACGAACAGGCGGTCATTCCCAGCGAAATGGGGACCCATCAAGCTTTGATGAAGCTTCTCTTCAACGCAAGGGAAAACGCAGCTCAGCGACAGCATATCCAGCACATTGCTGGTCTGCACGGTTTATGATTCATAACTCTCGGCTGTGTCATTGTCTAATTTGCGATGCTCGCTGCCATGGAAGACAGAAGTAACACATTCACGGAACAAATTATAGAAGGGACCGTCAGACGAAATGAATGTGAAAGCGTCCCAAGACAATGGTCCGGACGTAATCGCAATACGAATTAATTAGCTTCAGGGGGCTCGGAGACATCAGCTATCCGATAGTTTCTGCTTAGTGCACTATGCACTTATGTACACGCAAAGGAAGACGATCTGCGTAACCTGCCATCTAAATTCTAAGCTGATTGATTTTAAGGTTTTAACGTGTTTTGGAAATCACTTTCAATATCCCCCACTGGGGTCTGCGTACCTATAACGCGCCCTACGGGGGGGGGGGGGATATTCATAGCCACCCTTCTAACTCCGAAACTACTGGGCCGATCGTCGAAATTCAAACAGCATCTGATAGTCCCGGAAAAACTGTCGCAGGAAACCTAATTTCATTGACCTCAAGGTCACCGATGATGTCACAGGTCAGGTCGAAGTAAAAATAGTCGATAATTGACTTATTCAAATTTTGGGCTCTGGCCGCCGTCTTACAAGTCGGATCGGGCTCATTTGTGGTTTACACACTCGTTAACAGATGCTTTAGATACCCTGAGGGTACCAAACTTGTAATTTAATTTTCAGGTCAGGGTCAGGTCATCACAGGTCACGGAAATTTTATGTCATGCATCGGTCACGTGACACATGTTTTATGGTCCATTTAGGCCATAGATTTCGAATTCGATGTCGCTTATGTCATTCGAGGTCATTGTGAGTTGAATTTAGCTTAGGTCAGGCCAACTTCAGGTAAAAAGGTCATATTTTAAATTTGAAAATTTAAACAAAAATGTGTCTATCGAATGCAATTTGAGCACAGGAACACGATGGTGCTATTGATATTGGTGTACGATGTCAAATAGGTACGTACTGAAAAATTGATTTGAAATATCTATAGTCGTGAAATTTTTGCTATGATGCGTCGACTTGGCCATTTTTTAAGATAGCTGGCTAGAACTTGCTAGAGTAGGTACCTACGTCATAAGCATGTTCTATCACATGTTCCGTTTTTTTTTCCTCGAAAAGTCAAAAACTTTTTGAAAAACAGATAAAAAATATAACTTTTGAATTTAAATATATAGGTATTTTTCAAAATTTTCACAATTTTGAAAATCTGAGATAACAGTTTGATAGTGCAGTCTATTTTAAGTCGTCTCATGCAAAGACATTGGTAATAGGGTTTTAAAAACGGAGCTCTTGGGAGCGATTGCCGTGGTTCAATGTTTTGCGTCGAAATCGGCCGAACATGACGTCACTCTGACGTCATTTCCGGCCGACCTATGGTAGCTACGAAGTTCATATTTTGACACAAGGTGTCAAATTGATGCAGCCGAAAGTACTGAAAGTAGAAAAACGGGAGGGGGCTATGAATAGCCCCCCCCCCCCCCAGTGGGGCGCGGGTAAAATAAGTGTTATCTACTGTTGCCCGGCGTGTAGGGCCTTGTACCAATCTATATTACTATTTGAGGTGACGTAGTTTCTGTCTGTAACCGAGGTCGCGACATGGTGCTACGTAGCGCGGGTTACAGATCACACCGTTGCACCTACCGCGCTGAAATTTGCGCAAGTTATAGAACAAGGATGGACAACGTGCCTTTGAGCGGTCTCGGCTCGATCGGATCGATAGCGAGCGCGTGGCGCGTGCCCAAAAAGTGCAAATTCGCGTCATAGACTTAACATGTATAAATCGGCTGGCAAAAACGGGCGAAAATGGCTAGATTTGCCCGACACGGGTCCGTTCCCCGTGCAATATCTCGGTAGCCGTGCGCCCGATCGGCACGGAGAAAACAGCATCGTGTACCTAGAGAATCGAACGGGCTATCGAATGGTGTGCGGTGCAGGGGTTGGCACGCGCCGCGTGCACCGGGGAGGACACTTTCTTTTGAAAAATGGACGTTTTGGGCGGATTTTGGAATTTATATTAATTTCAGGTGATCGTCAGACGGAATGAGTTGAAACAGCGCCTATTAGCAATAAAAATGTACCGTCTCTCACGGTAAAATTGTGAAAAGCTAATTGATCAAAAACAATGTGGAAAAAATCGCTGAATTAAATGGTATTTGTCCAAAATGTGCCACTAAAAAGTTACACGGGATTTGCTGCTTAACCTGATAAGTTTGACAATTGAAAATGCTATCATTGGAAAGAGCATTCAATTCTCTCCAAGATCCAATCATCACGTTTGCATGACAAGCAACAGTATTCTTAAAAACATAAATGTTTCAAACCTCTGCAAAACGATTTTTAGTGAAAATTATCTACGCCTTTAATTTGTCTTGAAACTACGCACCTCAATTATAAAGCACATTTGACAGATTCTGAAGTGGAAAGCATGCTTATCAGACACGGGCACCTCGATGCGGTGGATATTTTTTCCACAAACCAAAACGTTTAGCCGTCAAAAAGCAATCGACCGAAATGGATAGATAACCCAACAGACACAAGAACAACCGAACACCCGCCGATCGAAAATATCCCTTTTCGCGTTGCGGAGCACGCGGGTCACCCTAGTTCAATTTCTATTGTACCAATTCAGCTGCTAGTCATCCATGCTAAATTTCCATACCCAGCGGTAGCGAAGGGATGCCATTCGGCCTAAGCATACCAATATCTTAAGTTGGAGACGTTTAGAGATAGAGCACAAGCCTATCTCTACTGGCCTATCAAATCGACGTTTTATGAAAAAATGTCCTAAGCCCCCTAACTGCGGCATGATGACGAGTCATTTACACATCTGCAACACAAGGTTCGATGACAGATTAGGCTTCTCACAAATCAATAGATCGGAGATCGGACCTCTGAAGTCGAGGTCTTGTCTAACGACTCAAACCAGCTGACTGTCCTTATCCTGGCCTGACCAGGTGGCGGCGCCCTTATCTTGACCGCTGACTTGATGACCGTCCTTATTCTGGTCCGACCAGGTGACCGTCCTTATCCTGTTCTGACCAGGTGACCGTCTTGTTTTGTGTTTTTACAACAGGAAACTTTTAAAAAGTTTTCTGCGCTTCTTTGCAGTATATTTTCATGCTGCCCCGACTTTTGTCAGTTCACCAGCTCTGCAGCACACGGCCGAAATTGAGATGTTTATCGTCCTATAACATGGCTTGGCGAAGCGTGATGTCTTCACTGGCCGGCTACTGAGAGAAATTGATGGGGAGAAAGTGAGAGAGGGGCAGGGAGAGAGAGAGAGAGAGAGAGAGAGAGAGAGAGAGAGAGAGAGAGAGAGAGGGAGAGAGAGAAGACAAAGAGAGCACACTGACGGCTGCCCTTACTTCCGTCCAAAATAGCCTCAGAGCAATGATGGCACCCTCTCGTTTCTCTGTAACTGGTATGGTTAGTTTAGCTTAGGATTTAGTGGTTGTTTAAGCTAATATACATCTTTTTGCCATGAAAACGTTATGTTTTGTTAGTCGAGGTCAAGGCCAGGTCAAAGTATCAAAACCCAAGTAATCCAAATCGTCAGATAAAAGCGTTCGTCATTTCCTAGCGCAAAAGTAGCAGTTTAAGTATACACTCACCATCAGTAAGTTTCTAGGGTGAAGGGATGCGAGTTGTGGCTGTCATGACCTCGGACTTTGTTCAGATTCTGTGACGTATGAAATACAGATACGCGAGTTTCAATGAATTGTTTCTTCCCGCGAACTATTCGCGTCATTATAATATCAGCGTATAGGCATCATATTTTGGACAAATAAGCTTTTATCTCCAGATGGCCGCGTCGCAGTCCCTCAGAGACCATAGGCCGAATACACAGAATTTATTTGTCATTTGTCTACAGTAGAAACACGCACGTTCCAGGCGACTCGCACTCCGACTATGTGGTCACAGATTAGTAAAACCGAGCTGGGCGCGACCCGCTCGGAGCCGCGGTCACCGCGCCCGCCGACGGCCCCCCACGAGCGCATATAACAAAAACAAACCTAGGAGAAACGGACGACCGCGCTCGGCGGGCGCGGCCGACAATTATAGTTCGCAGGGCGGCCACCAGGCAGCGCCCCCGTCGGGTGCAGGCATGCTCCGAACAGTTCATTGGCCGGGCGCGAGCCGCCGGCTCGGTACATTGGGGTCAGGCCGGGCCGGGGGCCGCCGGGCCACGCAATAGCGCACCTTTCTGGCGTCCAGGGGCTGCCGGCGGCCGCAGGAAGAGTGGCCGGCAAACAGCACACATGCACATCACGCCACGAGAGCCGGACCGCCTCCAGAACCTAACGCCGCGCAGAAGAGACAACTCAATGATATGTCGGCGGCAGCGGCCCGGCGGTGCTGCCACCTGCCGGCGCGGCGGTGCTGCCAACTACTGGATGCAGCAGCCGGCCTTGTGGCCGTTCTTCAGCTTCAGCCGCGAGCGGGGACGGTACTTTTCCAGATACTGCAGCTGTTTGGCGTTGATGGCGCCGCGTCGCTTCCTGAAACGGAGTGCAGCCAGTCAGTGGGACGCCGGAACAGCGGGACACAGCTGAACGGCCGGGACGGAGAGCCACGGCCTGCGACTCGTCAGCAGCCGAGGCTCGGTCGACAAAAAAAAAAAAAAAACGCACAGAGGCCAAACGCCAGCCTGCCGCGAATAGCCGCACACCACGTGAGGCGTCCGGCTGAGCGCCAGGACGACCGGACGCCGTCCTTGACCCCGCCTCTGGCAAAAACACCTCGGCACCGATCGGCGCGGCGCGGCGCGCCACTGACAGCCGCCGGCCGCCTGCGTGCCAATGGCGCCGCCACGGCCCGGCGAACGGCGCAGATGTACCGCCGCGGCGCCTCGTGCCGGGGTCGCTGGGCGGATCATTATGACGCAGAAAACCAGCGCCGGTTAATGAGAAAAGTTGGCGCGCTGGGGAGGTATCCGACCCGGATGTGCCGTCCCCCGAGACACGGCGTCTGAACGATACGGTAATATTCTCTGCTCCGTATTAACCCTGGGAGTGGAGTCAATATACAGCCGTCTCTGCCTGGGAGGCCACTCAGACTGCTAACAATTCAACAGGCTCCCATAACACCCTCTCCTTAATAAGACCCTTCCTCTAGACCGACTCTCCCTCCCGCCCGGCACAGCCCACGGACCCATCAGGTCTCTCGGTTCGTCCTTTTCCCCGGGGAACAGCCCGGGTCACGGTGTCGCGACGCCCTCAATATCCGGAGAACTGTCAACACCCTGGGGAGGCGACATTCCCACTATTTTGGGACATTCCACACCCCCATTCGGTGGGATCACGGGGGACACTCCTGACAGCTGCTGACACCTCCGGGTCACCTGACAGCGCACCGTCGCCTTCAGAACTGTCACAGCGGTCCGACAACTCGTCAGACGGCGGACGAGGCACCCAAGCGAGGCACCCAAACGAGAGTGGTGGCCCCGAGCAGTCGCCCTGGGGTAACGAGAATCCGCTGGGGCTGGCTATCATGGTGTTCAATTCATCAAAATTCAAAACTAAATGAGGACGTTAGCCAGAGCTCACCTCACCACTTAATAATGCAGCTGGTGTGTCAGCCAAGCAGGCGATCCACAGAAAATGTCCGTTAAGTGTTTTACCCACCCCACGCAAATTCCCAAAACACCCTGTAGTAATCAATTCTAGAAACCGCAGCCGAGTTGATGAAAAAATGATTGTTACCTCGGGAAACGTAAGTGGTACCATGTAGCAAAAAACCCCTTCTACTAAGAGATGCATCAACTAGGACAGTCATGTCTAATAAGCCAGGTCACCGCGAATTGTCGTCGGAAACATACAATATACACATGCGTTCCTGCACATCCACCATCGCCATTACAAGGGTGCTTTTTACTTGGACTGCATGGTGTGGGAAGACGGCCGGTCGGGTGAGCGGCGTCTCCGTTCGATGTGCGTTGCCATGGCGACGGCCTGACGCGGCCATCACAACAGGTGTCCAGCCGCGTTATGCGCCGTCCGCCGGCGAGGGCGCTCAATGGTCAGCTGGTGCTGTTTGCCGGACGGCGGAGGTCTATAGAGCGGACAACTGGTGTCCGAAGGGCGGGACACACGACCGAGCCTCACTAACGTGGCACGACTGACGACAGCTTCGGCCTCAGTTCGCCGTATCTTATCAGAGTTCTGTGAAATGGACGGCAGCCCGCGATCCAGGAATGCCAACACGAAACCGAGCGTGCGACATCGGACACATGCAAACATCGCTGCATGCGAAACCACAGGAAATCAGTTTAAAGCCACTGACACGAACCTACTAATATGGGAAGCTGACCCTATTCCATTCAGTGCACAGAACAATTCATTGCTTGATGATTCACAATCGTACTGACTCGAACATGCCAGGTGAAAAATGACAGGAGGAAAATGGTCATTCACACTCAAAGATAACTGTCGCTACCGACCCATCCTTTCGATAACTGTCACTGAACACCCCGACTATCAATAACTGTCGCTACCAAACCAAGTCGCTGATTATTATCGCTCCAGGCTAACTGCCGATAACTGTCCCAAACAGGCTTAACTGTCGACCATTGTCTGTACTAGGGATGTGGAGTTCTTCATTGGACCGCACCTTCGGTAGTTTCCTCAATGCCCAGCCGGACCCAATCTACCCAACCTCCTAACCCAATCCCTCCAAACTTTTGAATTTGCCTCTTAATTAACACTGCCTGTTGGTGATATCGTGGAATAAGCAAATAAGCAAACAAATTAACATTTCCTGACAATCAAAGGCCCACCCCACCCGCAGCTCAGCTGTCCTGCCCTGTATACGTACTGTCGGATGAGTTCGACGGCATCCTCGTACTTGAGTCCGAGCTCCATGAGGGCCAGCGCCACGAGCACGGGCGCCCGGCCCAGGCCCGCCACGCAGTGGACCGCCACGCAGGCGGTCGGGTCGGCGCGGAACCGCTTACGGAGCAGATCCAGCCAGTCGTCCACCACCTGGGAACAGAGGAGAGCGGTCAGTTACAGCTCCATACTCCAGACAGGTTAGTCACGGCTCCAGTACGTCACCCTGACACTGTGGGGGAGGGGAGGCGCCAGGCAGTCAGTCAACCGACTGCTCCAGCCTTTTGATCAGTCACATTCAGCTTGTCTTGTTGATAAGACCCGCTCTGAAGACTTGATTATTCATTCTAAAGGACGACGAATCCCATTACGGGATAGACTGAGATTGCTCTTTAGCGTGCATACGAACTGCGACATTTATCGACCCGAAATGTGTTGATGACCTGCGCAGCTCCGGATGCCGGTGGCGGAGAGTCGGCCAGTCGCTCTCACGTGAGTCCCACCGCTCAATCTGCGCCGCACGCGCTGTCGATGTATGGCTTCCACAACGCAGCTTACCAGCCGCAACTACCTACGCACACGCTCTGCCGCAGCGGGGGCGGGGGCGGGGGCGGGTGTCCGGGAGCGGCATATGGCGGTGACCCACTCCGCCGGAACAGGGGGATCAATAGCGCCGCGGCGGGGGCGGCGGCGGGGGCGGCCTTGCCCTGCCGCCGCCGCCGCCCGTTGAGGGAGGTCGCCGCTGCGTCGATCGTCGTCTGACCCGGCGCGCGCGGACCGACTCGCCCGGTCCGAGGCGGCAGCGGCCGGCAGTGTGCGCCGCAGCGCGGCCCGCAGGCGTCAACACACCGACCCGGATCGATGCCGGCCGTCGGCAGTGATTCCATCCCGGGCAGCTCAGCCGCAGGCAATTTGTCGCGCTCCGACACCGTTTGAGCGGAGTTCAACTGGTAGATCGAGTGCCAAATTGGAAAACATCAACAAGTGACGCGCCCAGCGCCTTCACCAGAGAGCAGTAGCTCTCAGCCACCAATTGACGCTCTACAAGTCGAAAAGGAGTTTCTCTCGCCCCCATGCCAAAGCTAGACGACGAGTTGCTCTCATTTCCTCAGTCATCTCTCAACAAGCTGTTGCTCAACCTCTCTCGGCTAGCTCTCAGCGAGCTGTTGCTGCCAGTGCTGCGAACTCCCTCTGCTCTCAACGAGTGCTGACTCAGAGTCGTGCATCTGTCGGCGGCAGCCCATCGTCACCGGCTCCTCTGCGTCACTCCCCGTTCGCTGTCAGTCCGCGCTGGCTGCACGGTGCGGAGGACGGACGCCTTCTATGGGAGAGGAGCGCAGGGCGGTGAGAGTGCGGACTGCGGGCCGCCCGCCGCTCCGTCCCGGCCGCTCGGCAGCCGCCGAATCTGGTACGAGCCAGTTATGTCCGGCGCCGTACTGCGCTCGGCGACTGAATAACGAGGGCCGCCTGCGCCGCTCCTCACCAGTATGGATCATAGGGGCCGTGGCAAACCGAGAGAGCCCGCCGGACAGATATAGCCCCGTCAGACGGCGCCCAATCACAGGACCGGGACGCTCATAGAGCAGCGATCGACAGGCGCCAGACAATAACAGAGCCCGGGCAGCCGGGGACAGCGCGGTCTCGGAACAAGGACATATGGAGACAGAAGGATCAATGAACGGGAACAGACGGGACAACAGGGATACAAGACGATAATCACCGCAGAAAAAGGACGACGAAAACAAAACAGATACAACTGAGACTGAGACTATGTGGAACGATCGCCGGGGATGGGATAGGTGCTCTAGAAATAAAGGAATCGCCGACAACGAAAAGGAAGGACAGTCACTCCTTCGCCGGGCCCTATCACGACCACAAACTGCAGATCCCAGTGCGACATTTACGCTGGAGGCTCGTGTGAAGAAAACTGTCATTCATGCAGTTCAGGCCATAACAACCGGATTACAATTCAATGGAAGGTGATCTCTCTACCGATCCGCTCCACAGGTAGTTATAAATGTGGCTCGTGCGTCCATATGGCAGCCGACAAGTGGCTGGTGCCACGACACCCGACAGGCCGACGGAAGCATGGGCCATGAGCTGATCCTACACATTAAACTTGAATCCATACCAACTGAAATACCAGCCGACTCAAAAATAGCGGTTTGATCCGATTGAGCATCAGACATTGCCATCGGCCGTAAATAGAACGAGTGGAGGCCGGAGGTCCTGGAATAGCTACAGAACGACTGAATTGGGGCTTCTCAGAGAGCAGCGCCGAGCTACTGATAGCATAAACTAGCGCCGAGAGCATAAACCAACGCTCGCTCGGGGAATGAGTCCCCAACAGGAACTCACCAGAACGCACACTACCGCAAAGTGACGGCCAAATCTGGGTGAAGGGCGAATGGTGGGAACCCAGCGTTCCACCAGGTGTCGAGCCCAGCCTTGAGATGATTATGTCGGACCACGAGCCTGTCAAAGTTGACGAGCTCTCATGCTTGAAACCAGAAGTGGGTACAGCAGCCTTCAGAAAAAAGATGTTCATTTTGCAACTGGAATTGCTCCCGACTCCCGACATTGAAGTTGCGGAGGGTGATCGCTGAGCCGAGTCGGTGCGATGTTCCTTCCTGCCCGGTAGGTGGGGATCGCGGGTGAACATCGGAGCGGTGTTCCTGCTGCCCGGTAGGCGGGGGCGCCCGATTGCGACACGTTGTGTTCGGAGTTGGATCGAGGCCACACCTGGAGGAAACGGCCGGCGCCGATGACTCAGCGCGGCGATTCCGGGCAGACACTGCCGACCCGTCTGCCATTGTCCTCCGCACTTTTCCACAGCGGAGCGAGCCATCCGCCTTTCCGCTCAGAAACGTCGATATAAAAACAGCCGGCAGGTAGCGGCGGTTTCCATAGACAGCAAGGCAAACAGTCCGTATTGAGGCCAACCAAACATCCTCAGCGACACAAGATGTGGTGCGTGGAGAGGTGGTGTAGGCAACAGGCTGGGCGATTTAATGTGGGATATCGAGACACCAGCCTGCGGGGAAAAGGCGAAGTGAGGTCGGGAGATTGCCTAAAGGGGAAATGGGATGGGGCCGTCTGTCGAAAGTACAGAGAAATCAGTGCTGTTCCAAGTCGTGGACACAAACTCATTTTTAAACAGCAGAAGCCGTGTTAAGGAAAGAGGAACAATTAATTAGCAATCTTCCTGTGTTCTTCCGAGGCCCTCTGTTCCCTTCTGACTCCAGCGAACACACCCTGCGGAAGTTCCGGCCGACAAACAATCGCCCATTCATTAGCCTGTTTTGTGGTTCGGATTATCCGCCCGGTGTGAATACACAGTTACCAGGAACAATGGCGGCCGGTTCGAGCTCCGACGCGGGTTGATTTCCCCGACCGGGCGGTCGTAGACGGGGGACGTCGGGATGATCCTGACGGGGACAGTTACCGACAGTTGGAGGATAGACAGGGGGCATTAGGGACGGTCAGAGTCTGACGGAATGATCCCCGACAGTTGGCAGACAAGCGAGGCATACGGAGACAGTCCCACAGTCACCGACAAGCGCGAAGGTGCCGGGGGTGGCTACTGGGAAGCCGGAGGATTCTCCCAATAAGGTTAGGGCCGAACGGACGTCAGACGCAAATCACATAGACGGCACTGACAGTACCAGGAACCGTAATCGGCCCCGAGCGGCGCAGCTGCAGCCCAGCCTCCCTCGTTTCTGCCTCAGTCGTCAGCGGTCTACATATGCTGACGATGCTGAGACTGCTGGTTGGCAACGGAAACGGCTAATACAAATTTATAAGCTGCATCTCATCAGCCGGAGAAATTCGAAGACCAGTCTTATGACCTATTGACCGGGCCATCAGACGACTGAGGAGTGAGGACACCGGCGCTTTGACAGTGCGCCTGTGCTGCGATTATGCCGATTTGAGCGGACCGTCCGCCGGACGCTCCACAGGTGGTGCCGGTCTGGTTATCAGCCCACCCCCGCCCGGCGAGTGACAAGGTCATGTCAGGCGGCGGCCGTGCGAAGTTGGCGCACCAGCAGCGCTGGCGGGGGGCCAGTGCCACACGCCCCCGCCATACCGGACCAACAAAACATGGAGCCGGCCGCGCCACCGGCGGTGCCATCAGAGAGCTCAGCGCCGCCATTAGCGGGTGCTAAAACTCCGCTCAGTGTCTTCACATCGAGCTGTTACTCTTGAATGTCATAACTGCCGGGCGGAGGCGTCGGTCCCCGCCCGGGTGACCCGCACTCGGTCAAGGTTGCCGCGTCGTCAGCTGACTAATGAGCGTCCTGCCCTCTATCGTTGCCGACAGGAGTCGCCCCGCCCATCCCGGGGGTCTGATCACCTGACCAGTGCCTGCGGACATTTGGCCGGGGGCCAGACCGACCCGGTCGCCGCCCCAGGGGGCAGCGGGGGTGGCGGCGGGAGCGGCAATCAGCCAACTCAGCGCCCCGGCAGCTCCAATTGGCACAGGGCGGGCGGGTGCCGCGGCGGCCGGAGCGGTCAGCCGCGGCGCCGATACCCTGGCACAGAGAGCCAGCGGCAACATTATTGGCGCCACACCATCCCACGGTCATTGTCCCCGCACAGTGACCCCGTCCCGTCACCCGTCCGTCCCATACCGCACGCAGCGGAGCACGGGTAGCCACTCCTCTGCAGCCTCACGGCCAGGTTTGACCTCCGTGCCGGCTGCAAAAGGTTCACGAGGAACAGCGCTGCAGGTGCCCGTTCGGTGTCGCTCACACCCCTTATGGCCGGGGGCGACGTGGAGGCGGGGCTGATATACGGTCCGGTGACTGAGAGGAGGCTGTACCCGGCGGCCCCGTCTGGAGCGGGCCGCAGGACGCCCGGGCCGCGGTCCAGACGCCCGCCCATGAGCGGAGGGGGGGGGGGGGCGGGACTCGGGGCGCGGCTGACACGGCCTTGGCAGCGGGGACACGGCAGTGTAGTGCGCACTATCACCGACCGACCGACCGACCGTACAGGCGGCGGCCGTCCGTGGCACTTAAAGAGGGCCCTCCGACTCTGAGCAAGCTGCACCATTTGAGGCATGCATCCGAACAAACAGATGGCCCACCATACGCGAACCAGTCGTCTTTACTACACCAGACTTATTGGTTTCAGAGCGGACCTGTCGTCTGTCGACCCGTTACAGTGACGAACAAACTTTCTCGACAGTAGCCTTCTCAGTAGTCCCTGCACCCCATGCACCTGGTCACTGGGGACCGGCAGCGGCGAACGACTCAGCACAGTAGCACAACATCCCTCGGGGGAGATTTCCACCCTGTGCTATCAACCTGCCTGATACCTAGGCAAGTTCAGCGAAACAAGCATCCCTATCACGGCAATAAGCTTGATCTAATTCTAATCGGGACGGAAAAGCTACTATCGCATAATTAGCTGCAAATTGTTTATCTGAAGAAGCACTCACCGAGTACCTTGATAGGCTCAGGGTAGATTACTTTTGAAAACGACCCGGAAAGACTGAAGAGGATGTAATGACGCAGCTGGCGGGCTGCAGAGTGCGCCTCTCACTTCCACTCACCAGGCACGTCAGGCACGAGTTGACCTCGTCTGGGGCACGTGCCGAGACATGGGCAGACGGCGGCACGTGTCGGGTACATCAGGGCACGGTCTAACTTCACACTGGGGTCGGACGACCATGGACTCTAACCAGCGATGGACACAGCGTGGGCGAAAGAAAACAGCAAGAGAACTGAGCGGCTACTTCTTGATGTGTGTTGTGTTAGACCCTGACCGAACATCAGCGGTGAAGGGTGCTGAATGTGTCGAGACAGTGTTAACCCTCGCCCGTAAACGGCGATCTGCCACCTTCGCCCATGCAGAGGGGGGGGGGGGTTGGTGCGACCCCCCCTTGGCGTTTGAAAACGGAGCGTCGTAGAGCTTAGCGGAAAAGACCAACGGTTTGCTCTCGCCGAGATCTCGCGATTGGTGGTATATTTTTTGGTCCTAGGTCAACATTTGACCTACTTTTGACCGGTCAAAGGTCAAATTTTCGGAAAAATAGACTTTTTCAACTTTCCGCGGCGATTGCGGCAAAACGGTGGGAGATATCGACTTGAAACCTTCACTATCATGTTCCTTGATCAATTCTCTATCGTTTGGTATGTATTTCGTTTCCCTAGCTCTAAAAATGGCGCGTTGGGAGCGCCGGAAGTCGGCAAGGTCACAGTCGGCGGCAGAAATTCGAAAAATCAAAATTTAAATTTTTGAAATCTGATTGTATTTTTGGATTTGGGAGGTCCATTTCCTCCCTATAGAAGCTAATATTGCTGCATATTCCCATTGAGGTGACAAGAATTAGCAAAATAGTGGTTCGGGCGCTTTTCAAAAATAGTACCGGACGCTGTTCCTCTTGTGACGTCATAGCTCCGTGACCTGACCTGACCCGGTCAAGTTTCTTATGCCATATGATAGCCAATACTTGCCCCAACATGCATGGGAAGTTTCATCACGATCCATCAACCGATGTCCGTACCACCGGAAGGAAACCTCGGGCGTTGGCACTCAGTTTGTGAAAATCCGGCCGGAGGCTGTTCCCTTTGTGACGTCATAACTCCGTGACCTGACATGACCCGGTCAAATTTATTTAATCAAAAGATGCGCAAGGTTTGCCCCATAAGGTACCCAAAATTTGGCGGCGCTGCGCGCCGCCGTTTTCGCACTATTTCCGAAAATCCTCAGGGGGGGGGTAGCACCAACCCCCCCTACATGGGCGAGGGTTAATGTAAATGTGACTGATCTGTCCACAAAGCCGGAGCGGTCAGCGGTGCTGAGTGGGCAGGACGTGACCGCCATTGATCGCTTGGGGTGCTTCTCGAGTGAGCGCAGGGAGCCCCTCTGTTGGTGCCCCGAGCCCGCGGCTGTGAGAGTGGTAGTGAGGCTCCCAGTCAGTGTCAGGTGGCTGTGCGTGACCGACTGAGTCGCCGCCCGTCTCTGTGAGACCGACGGCCGCACTCACCGCGGTCGGAGGGAAGGTACCGTCGTCGTACACCAGATCCGTGACGGAGATGCCCTCCTGCTCCAGAAGGTCCGTCTTGTAGGTGGGCTCGCATACGCGCACCACCGAGCGCGCGTTGTGCCTCTTCAGCTCCTGAAATAGCAGACATCAGTCAGTCACAGGACACAGGCTGGTTTGGGGTAGTGGCGGCCGCGGAGATGGGACCCACTGACCCTCGGACCCAGATGAGCTCGCCGCGACAGCTGAGCCTAGGACGCCGTCCGTCATCCCGCCAGATGCCCCCAGCAACAGACATACCAGTTGCACCCTGCTATCGCTAAGGTGTCTAGGATTGGGGATAATGTGCCGAGTCACAGCAAGGATCAGGAAGTCTAGGGCCCTGGTCGAATTTGAAACGAGACATCATCTATGGGTGTTATGAAGAGTCGACCGATTAGCCAGTGTCATTTGGTCCGTAGTGAGACAGGTCGCCTGAGTGGCAGCAACAGATCTCACCGAACGCTATAAGGCTCCGAGCCTAAAGTTCTCATGCCATGTTTTCTCATGTTTTGTGAATTGTTTTACTCGGCTAGAACAATCAAGAGACGAGACGAGCTCGACTGCACGCAAGGGACAGCATACGGGTTGAGGGCAAACGTACTTTGTGCCACGGCACATGAAAGCAAGGACAAAAGTATGCTCTTCTTTCGGTTAACTCATGAAATGGAGGCACAAGTATGCACTGACGGTACGAGCCCGTGAAACACTCCCAGCGGCCAGCCCTGAATAGAGTTTCACCATAACAGTTACAGCGTTAAGTGAATCCCACCCGCCACCGTCTAGGTGCTGATGATAAGACGGAGCCCACGCCTCTCTGAAGCTAAGGATGGTTGAAACGCCTTTAGAAATAAAAGCATTAGCGCGGACCATTCAGTAGAAATCGCTATCGCACAGCTAGGATCATCCCGCGAACTCAAATTAATAGTTCGCAGAACAAAGAGACGCTGAACAAAGAAAGTCTATTTTGCCAACAGTTCATGCTCAATGGCTTTTCAACTATATCTCGAACAATGTTGAGGTTTATGGAAAAATCATACAATGAACGAAAAGGAGCATGTGGCAGCCAGCATGATCGTGTGTTCATTCACGAAACAAAGCCATGGACGCGCTATTCAACAAAGGGCTTTTACTTTACTGCCGCTTGGTAGCAGCAAAATGTCTTCAATTTTCATGTTAAACAAATAGTTTCGTTTGCTTTGCTAACCAAGCCCATTGTTTATCAATCCGGGTAGTTTGCAAAGCAATTATTAAGAACACGAATAAAAGCAAAAGACCGTTTCGCGTTCTAAGCAAATGAGCGCTAAAAATGACGCACAAAAGGCTCCCATCATGCGATCACGAAGCATTTGAGGAAATACTATAGGTAGGAAATACCAACCTTACAGCATTCTTGCATAATTTGGATTATTGTGAACGACGACATTGTATCATGAGTCACAATGAAGTCAATGAAACCAGGGGAATCAATGAACAATCATCGCTAGTCGGAATATCCCGGAATGATTTTTACGAAGAAGAGTTAGCAAGGCAGAATAACATCGCTAAACCCGGACTACCCAAGGCACGATTTGAGCTGAATGACTGCTCGCCAAATGCCTGACGTGCCAGACATTGATAGGCGCCGCAGACCACAAACTTAATAGCCACCACTTCAGCTCCCGATAGTGGGGATAGTGAAGGACTCCCCGGTCCCGCAGTCCCGCGCGGATGACGTCAGAAACTAAGTACGGCATCCGGTCTGTCTCAGCTGAGAGCCAGGTACAGACATCGTCTCAATGCGCGGTAGGTATTCATAATTCGATAAAAATGAGAATAGCTCGAAGGTCATTTGTCACTCGGGAGTAATAACACAGACTCGGGATGCTCAACAATTCAAGTTGAGTCCACCAATAACATGACTCCCCGACCAAGATTTTGCAGAAATAGACAAACGTATGCATTCAATCAAAACACAAATCCCTGTCATGTTTGCAGCAATGGTTGAGAAGTTAGGAAGATAATGGACTAATGTTAGGGGTAGAACCTCGTGCGTCTATGAATTATGCTTTTCGATCAAAATAACCTTCGAGCCATTCCAGTTTTGTCGAAATAACAGTGTTTGACCTCTGCATAGGTTCACAGTTAACCATTCTCGCCTCCACAGTACAGTCGGGTGAGCTCTCACCTCTACGTAGGCAGCCAGTGTGTTCTCAGTGGGTCGGTCCGTGATCAGGAACCGCATGCCCTTGTACTCAATCTCGGAGGGCGCCGGTCGGATGCTCTTGTTCCTCATATTGCTCATGTCAGTGTGTGCCGGGCGCGGGTCAGACGGCGGCGGCCCGGGGTGGACCCTGCAGCGCTCCTCGCGCGCACCACAGCCACTCGGGGCGCGGCGGACGCCCACAGCTCACGGACGGACGGCGCGGCGCAGCTGTCGGCGGCCCCGTGCACGCCTCACCCCATGTGGCACCCAGTCCGCGCGGTGACCCGGCCTCGGGCACGGCAGCACCCTCACTGACACGCACTGTCCAGCACAGGCGCGGCGCGCGCTCTGACACTTTATTTGTGCTGGGCTCGGCAGAACTCGCTGCTTCCCTTCAGCAGCTCCATACGGCTGAAGCCCCGGCCGCTCTGGTGCTGTAACAGAAGGGGAGGTAGTGCGTCAGCACCCGACACACAGCGCAAAGAGGAGTATAGTCCCACCGCTATGGCAATGAAACAGGCGGAGGGGAGCCGGGGTCAACACACGCACCATTACACATTTGTACAGGACCTTACACCTACAAATTACGCATTAGATGAAAGAAAAGAAAAGGACAGCATACATTGGAGAGCACGCGACGAGCTGACGATGCATACATGAGCATTGAGCATTGAGCAGTAGTACACGGCACACATAAAACACCCTCACAGGAACACAATTTGGCAGTGGCGAGGTGCAGATTTCAGGGGAGCACAAGCCACAAAGAGTGCCAACAATAACCGGAGACAAAAGGTGAATTAGTTTGACCCCGGACGGCATCCAAACTAGCCTGACAGCGGCATTCCCACGGACAGGGATGCCTTCTGCCGTCCAGGCACCGCCTGAGCCGCCGACGTGCGAGCTGGGAGCTCATCGAGCGGTGGCCGTGCGTGCGGCACCGACCAGGAACTCGACCGACTACCGGCCACTGAAACCAGCCGGCGGCGCCATTTTGTGGCGCTGAAACGCACAAAGGATGCTCACAGAGGCGTTCTTCTACAGTCGGACAAAGTCAGTTAGGAATGAGGTAGGCTAAGAACGGCCAGAGCAGGGACAGGGCGGGTGTCACTCCGCGCTTCTGCCACCGGCGCAAGGGGGTGGTCCGAAACCTCGCAGAAAACGGCAGACGGCGGCGATGGGATAGTGAAGAAAGCGGATATCAGTACCTTCGCATAACAATCACTGAGAAATAATCAGCCCGATGTAGCAAGACGGAAATATAATAACAATGCCATAAATTAACAGAGTAATTGCTGCATATGCATACATAATGCATAATGCCTATGCAGCGTAGCTGTTTCTACTTTCAAAACCATCCGCTCGCTGGCAGAGCTTGTTGCAATGACTCCACGTAATTTGAGCTTGATTTACCAACTGCCCTCGGGTCGATTGGTCCGATTGGTCAAATACTGGAAGAACTAAAACTACCTGTTTACCCCTGGGTTTACCCCAGCCAGCCAGGCATTCGGCACCTGTTGTTATTGCAGGTGTGAACTCTACCTGAGGTCAGACTTCAGAGGAACGCTCTCGACAGACAGGCGTGACACCCTAGGTTCGCGTCTGATGATATGAGTCAGACTGGCGTGGGAAGTGACCTACCACAGGTCGGGCGCGTCGCACAGGAGCTGAGGAAGCAGCGGTTAGAAAACACCAGGAGGATGGCGGTCGATCTAGGCTAGAAGGGCCAGGCCGGCACCAAGCCGAGGGTCCCGGAGTTGAGCTGTGTCCCAGCGGAGTCGGGAGTCAGCCTACCTGGCGCTCATGGTGACTCAGGACCGCAGTATCGATGGGTGACTATGACAGAGAGCAGCGATCACCCGGCCCGCTCCGACAGTCGACAGGCCGTCCGGCGCTGTGGGATCGGTCCACCGTTCAGACTGCGGACGTCCCAGCCGAGTCGGAGTCTGTCAGCCGCTCGGCCACTGTCTGCCAGCCGTGTCTGTCCGGTGGCGTCCCGGGCCTGACTGACGCCCTCCTGCCGCTACACACGCTATGTCGTCCGCCGCGGTACGGACGGTCCGGTCCCACTTTCCGGCCCGCCGCCGGGGGGGGGGGAGGGGTGCGGCGGCCAGTGCAGACCAAGGCTGCTGCCGAGCGCCGCCCGCACGCCGGCCCGCCGCCCAGCGACCAGTGCAGCTCACAGCGGCGGCCACCGGCGGCGGCGGCGGCCGAAACTCAGCCACGCCGACCAGCCGCCGCACAAAGAGCGGCACACGCAGTCAGCTGGCACCGCCCCGAACAGCGGGAGGTCAAGGCCCCGACAACCCCTCCCCAACAGAGATGGGTTATCGGTGCCCTGGGACCACCGGGTAGTGGTTAATTGGGTAGCCGTCCGTCCCGTCTATCCAGTCTGCCCCCTTCCGACCGCCGGCTCCTGTCCAGTGGATCATATACCCGGTCCGGTCAGTGAGAATGTCGGCCAGTGGTCCCGTCCCGACTCGGTCGGTAGGTCGGCCGGCCGGCCACTTTCGCCCGCCCGCCGCCCGTGGATAGACGTTAGACAGTTCCGACTGTCGGCAGTGGCCGGGAGAGAAACTGAACCCCCGGCCCTGCTCCAGTACCATCCACTCCATCATACGCCCAGCTACCGACACTGCCAGCGCGGAATACGCTGCGGCTGTGCTGGCAGACGGCGCACAAAGACCGCCGTGATTTCTCCCTGCCGCCGCCACTGCCGGACGGCGAAAACAGCAGCCGGCCCGACTGGCAGCGGGGCGACCCGCACTGCCGCTCGGCCGGGTAGCGGTACGGGCGCAGGGAGCGAGCAGTCACCGCGCACTACTCTGTGAAAAACAACCACTCCAGTCTCCACTGCCAACCGGGCCTGCGTGCCGGCTGCGCTGTGGACTCACAGAAGATGTCGGCCAGCGTGGGTTAGGTTCCTCGGAGTGACGAGACAGGGCGGGCACTGCGGGCACTGCGGATTCACGGGGGAGACTAGCAAACTGTAGACACAAAGGGGACGCTGGCCAGCCGTTCTAGCTACGGTGGACTGACGGGGATGGCCTGCCGCCGCTGGCTGCCGGGGCTCGAGCGACCCAGACGGGCCGGGGCCGACGGAGGGGAGACGGGCGGGTCGGGCCGGTCGGACGGCCGCCGCCCTGCGCTCCTAGGCGCGCCCTACTCACGTTTTCTGCCGTTGAAAGTGCTCCGCCACACATTTATGAGTGAGAGGCCAGCCGAGCGGGCTGCTGTGACTGCGCTGCACGCGCTCACACTGGGAGAAACACAGGGACGATGAGCGGCGGGCGGCGCGGAGCGGCTGACGGCGCCGGTCCGTATCGACGTTCTGAGCCGCCGCCGCCGAGCGCCGCCCCGCGCCAGCTGAGCCGCGCCCGTGACGTCACACCGGGCCGAGGGGGAGCCGGTGACGTCACCTGCGCGCGGCGGTCGTCAATGGGAGGCGCCGGCCGCAGACAGCGCCGCCGGCCAAGGTCGGTGACCGGCGCACCACGGCGGCCCTCACACCAAGGCCGCGCGCCGCCCGTCCGGCAGACAGCCGCTAATCATTGGCCCGGCAATGGACCGCTGGTAGGGGCGGCTCCCCCCGCCGGCCCCCACCCCCGACCGATGTGCCTGGCGCCGCGCCTGCGTCGGCGACCAACAGAGGTCACACCGTTGTGAAACTCGACGGGAGACATCACGTGGCGCAACCTTGAGCCCCCTCGCCCCGCCCGTAAAGGCAGGTACTGCGGAGTCGTGCCCCCCCCCCCCCTCCGGCCGCGCGGCGTCAAAGACAGGCCGCCCACCGTCGTATGACGTCATCCATACGATACAAACATGTCAGGTTTGCCGAAACAGGCCGCCCTGTGGGTGGGTGGAGGCGCAGGTCGAGCTGAGACGGCTGACTGCGATATCAATTCAGACGGTAGCCGAATCTAGAATGAATGACAAGGAGCTCCTAGAAACTGACCGCATTGTCAGTAACTGGTCACGGGTCAGACAGACTATTTATCTAGCTGTTTGGGGCTGGTCCGGCTGACTAGCTGACCTGCATAGACGGGAGACTTTTAGGTCAAACCGTTCTGAACTCCCGTCACTGGACGATGTCGCAAATGTCAAAAGAATAGGAATGTTTCCTGTTAGTAAATAAGATCTGAAGCACAAATAGGTACCGCTCAGGATTCACGCTCGACATGTAAAAATCACTCCTCGAGACTGAGGACAGACCAAAGTAGCAACAAGTCGCCATCGTGACCTGAACAGTGAACAATGAACATAGCGCCCGATTAACATCCAGCATGGCAGGGCGGAACAGGGCGAGAGCCTGGACTCGGCAGGACAGCTCCGGCGATTCATCAAATGTAGAGAGGACTCCGGCGGTTAGCACAGGGAGCGAGACGCCAAAGTGGTTACCTATGTAAGTTCTAGAGCCGTAGTGACGGGCTAGCAAACGTCGATATGAACTGCGGTCCCAGCTGGCATTCAGCCCAAACCCGATCAGATCATTTATGCCACAAAGCTGCGATGCGGCCATAGCCGGTCATTTAGGAACGAAGTTAGTTCGGTTCATGAGTCGCCAGACGATTTGTCTGAACTAAGCATTTCATGATGGGCAACAGTATATGCCAAATGACTACGCAGTGGCAAGTGGCTGCTGGCAGACAGCAAATCAGGTGTCTGCATTTCAGAGATAATGTCCGCACCATGACGTAATTTGGGCTTTTAACCCGGAGCTGGTGGTTACAGAGAAGCCACAATTCGTGCTCATTATTGTAGAGCAGTCATAGTGTGTGATTTATGCAGGACAAAAAGCGAATGACACGCCGTGAGGGCTGCATTTTCCATATCTTCTGGGCATCCCAATAGAGCACGGATGTCGGAATTTCAACGTTCATTCAAATTATCGCAAACAAATGGACGAGTAATAGCGAATTACTAACGGATCTTGCATTGGAGGTCTACCCCAAGACCGTCTGTAATTCATACTTTCCTTTACCAAGTATCTGCGGTACGTGAAAGCAATCACAGCCACATCAAATAGGTACCTACAGGTGATTCATAGCACGCCACACTGGAAAATCGCCATATTATTGTCTGCTTTCATATGAAGCAATAAAAATAATCCTACCGTGGAAATGTCAGTAGAGCATGTTGCTTGTGGATCGGGAAAGCCAAATAACGTACACGCTGCATGGAAGCAGCAAAAAGTGTGATGTTTTCAGAGCCAGACAGGTGGCTGATACCGGTAGCGTGCTCCCTACTGCGGTCAGTGTGACCATATATGTCGGCTGTGGCCCGATGGCGCCATTTTTACCGGCCGCAGTGAATGTGGGGCGCACGGCAGGGCGGCACGAACCGGGTACGCCAGCGCGCGCAGGTGTGAACAGTTCCAGGAGCCGGCGGTGGTCGGCCCGTCCCTCTGATATGGCCGATGGTGGCAGCGGGCACCTTCCGATAGTGTCCGCTGGTGGCCGTGATCCGCAACACGGAGCTGCCGATACACGTCCAACACGCACCCAACACCCTCCTTATAGGGGAGCGGCAGCTAACTCGACACATGTAAAGAACAGCTGCGACATATGAACACTGTATGACAGGAAATAGACCACCTTTTGACATTAACAGAGAGATGAGTTTGTACAGCATGTTACAAACCCCTACATGAACGGACATTTTCGGCTGGAAAGTTCGAGACTTGCATACTTGCCATTTAGTTCATTAGAAACACGAGAAGAGAAACTGCCGCTCTTTGCTATGAAGTTAGTCCGCATACTTTGAATGGAAAGACTTTTGATGTTGGAGCTTAGAACCAAGATTACTTTACTTATAAGGTTAGTTCACTAAAGAATTTTTGCCGCCCAGGTGACGTCACATAATATGGTAGCGATTTGGTAGCCGTTTGCAAATACATAAATGACTTGCGTGAGACATTTATAATGCAAGGTATTGTTCAAGGACGTGTAGGCCGTGTATATAGGGTATTGTTTGTGGATTTTTTGCCCATTAGGTAGTGATAATGGGCAAATTTGCGATTTTAGATCGGACTATTGAGGATTCAGACGACTCTAGCTTTATTTATCAGATCGCTTATAATATCACCAGGTTTTCTCATTTCTGGCATTATTTTCCCTTATAGTGTCTGTTCATCAGAGGTCGGTTTGTATCGCACAATGAAATTGAAATGCTGATGAGTGATTAAATTTTTATTCAGCTATGAATATTTTTAAATTTTGGGTTGAGCATGGCCATCAGATATGCAATAATTAGCCCTCATAATAATGCTGCATTGGCTATATGGACAAAGTGATGGTCTGAGCAATGTACACCAATTGCCTCTTTAACAGTCTTTGACATGTTTCAAATTGTAAAATCTAGTAAAATCATGCATTAGAAAAAAATGTGGTAGTCGTTAAGCAAGCCCCACACTTGTTTTTCCAACCAGGAAGAGGCGCTCTACCCAGAGATGCCTGCTAATCAAGTCAAGCCAAACCAAACCTAACCAAACCTGGCCTAACCTTACCTACAACCTACAATCTTAAACCTACAACCTAAAACCTACCACCTTAACCTACCCACCACACTAAATCCGCAATGCACCAAGCCATTAGCCAAATCCGCTCCGCACCATGCCAAATCCGCACCAGCCGAATAAGCCCACACCAACAAGATGTCGTCGAAGTTACCATATTTGCAGATTGGCTGCTCCAGTACACATTCATTATTCATGGTTTCCATACGACTTTCAACATATCTTTTGCTGGATTATATGAAATTGAAATAGCTGTGCAAAATGTGCCAGACCATGTTTCTAAGTGACTTCAATGATTTAGAAGTTAGAACTTCATCACTCACTGGTCTTCTTATGCAAGGAACTGTGGGCAGCATGGGCACAGTCTAACATAGCTAATGAACCTGCAGTTCAGCCAGCCTTACATTAAGGTTTCCTGAGTGTAATTCGTATTCGTTTCGGGCTACACTGAGGTAAAAATTGTTAAAAACCAAATATTTCGGCTTTATTGAGTAGCCTTGTTCACTGGTTCACTTGGTTTGGTTTCCTGAGTGTGAAATATGCATTCAAAAATAGATGTGTTTGGAGTGGACGAAGAAGGTGATGGTTTTTTGTGCTGAAAATGTTTAGTGTTGTATTCATATTTCAGCATAGTTCTTCAACTCAATTACTTGACCCGTCCCGGTCACCCATTATCTCAAGAGCACTGCTCAACAAAATGAAAATGATTTTAATGGGTGCTATTAAAGTGCGAACATAAAATATCATCAGCTCACCAATATTCTTCTGAATCATGTGATGTTTTGTATCTCTAAATGATTTCCATTTCATAAAAGAACATACTCCACCCTTGTAACATTTATTGTACATGCCACCTTGGAAATACATTCATAATGATTCATGTCACTGTAGCACTTGTGCTTGCTCATTTGCGCCTTGCGGCAGCACGACAGTTGCTCACAATGTTCTATGTTAAGGTATTAACCACAAATTATAATAGTAGACAATACTCACTCAATTAACTAGGTACTTATTGGATGAGAGAAATGTAAAAAAGGACTCAACAAGACCAGTCAACCAGGTCCCTTGCTTTGGTGATCTGTTGATTGTTCTCGTATCAAGTGAACTTCAACATTTTATGATTTTACACATTATTAATATTCACTAGAAATAAATATTTGTGCTAAAAGACCAATACTGGCATGTTTTCTTCTCTTGAAAGGCATAACACAGCCTTTTTCACACTTCAGCCCATTATCTTGCATTCAAAGTGGCTCAGATACGAGTCTTCAGTTCCTTTGGTAGTGCAGTATGATGCATACCAAGTTCCAGTGGTATTTTTGAAGCATACTATAGATCACTCGCCAAAACAATGCACCTCATAGAAGTCTTGCTATTGTTAAGTGAATGTTTGCCATTCGATTTGGCCAAAATCATAATAAATTTGCATATTATTGATAGAAAATGGCGTTAGTATCTAACTTTTGCAAAAGCGGCGCAAGACGCATTTGGTAGCACTATTTTTTTCCTTCACGAGAAAAAACTTCATCGAAATTTGCAGGCCTCATCTAAAAGGCAAAATTAATGCTTGGTTCATTTGAATTCGACCTATTGAGGCCCGGTTTTGGAAAAATCAAGCCTTACTGAGTCAAATGGTATGCTTTTTATAAAATTTTAGCCCTCAACTTGGGCGTCAGCCCAGCTCAAAACTCGGCCTCATTTGTATGGATCGTTATGGGGTGAAGGGATTTTTGCCGCCCACGTGACGTCACGGTAAAGGAATTCTGAGGCTCGTGAACGGGGGCTGCTTAGAACCCACGTAAGTACGATTGCTGCGCAGATTTCTGTGAACAGCGCCTCCCAAGGTGGATCCATTAGGCGGCGGCATAATTAATGATCAAACATTGAACCTACCCACACGATAAGACCGGCCCGCTCGGCTCACCGATTCCATCTGCCCTGTAAAGCGGCCGCCGACCCTGGCCGCGGGCCATTCCCATCACGAGCAAATGGCTACGGCTGGAGCAGCTGGAATCACAATGTGACCACTAGTCATCCAGCAAGACACTAC